CATTACAAATTTATTGCCAATTGGATGATAAATTATTATCTGCTCATCAGTATTCAACATTGGACTAGCATAGTGTAATTTTTTTATTGCAACTTTTTGGTTCTAATTCCCATTTGCAGCATAAAACAATGCAAATGATGTATGAGACGATCTACAAGGCGTTAGTGGAAGTTGGGCTGGAGGATGCCTTCTCGCCACAAGATTTTTTAAACTTTTATTGCCTTGGAAATCGAGAGGTTCTTGACACGAGTGATGCGTCAAGCACTGAAAGTCATGGTCCAGCAAACACTCCTCAGGTAATGTCCAAGTTTTTACTGTGCTTATGAGGGGCCTCACATTCAAGGAATTACAGATGGCTACCACTTTCCTCCTTATCCTATCTTCTTCTTCTTCTTGGTTTTTTACATTTGGCTTTTTTGGTCTGATATGGAGAATCGACTGGTTCTCTAAGCTTTTTGCTTGGAGATTTAACTGGTTACACATTCAGAGTGTGATGCCATGTCCTGGCAAATATACCAGTGCATTGACATGCTTGTCAGTTTGGAAAACTAGTTTGGTTCTTTGTCTTCTCTTCATTTATATTACATATAATGTAATTCCCTCGTCATACCTACAAATTCCTGCCCAATCTTTTCCTAGCTATTAATATTCCAAATCTAACATCCTCTTACCAATACTTTTGTTACCTTATTTTCAGGCACTAAGTCGTAAAAGCCGAAGATTCATGATTTATGTGCATTCGAAAGGTATGATAGTGGATGATGAATATATTATTATAGGGTCTGCAAACATTAATCAGCGGTCCATGGAGGGCATGAGAGACACGGAGATTGCAATGGGTGCCTATCAGCCTCACCATACGTGGGCAAGAAATCGGTCGAGTCCACATGGACAGGTAACCATGTTAGGAGCAGTTTGAATATCAATGTTCATGTAATTGTATGCATTTGCACGCTATATCTACATATACATACACAATGTCGGAGCAGGTATCTTTGTGTGGGATTATATTATTGTCTTCTACAATATCTGTTGTGGAAAAGCTGCTATATTTAACAATTTAAGAGCTCATATCTTGAAGATTTTAAATATTGCTGTACCTTGTACGCTACACTCCTGAAGCTTGGGTATGATAGCAGCAGAGATGAAGTGTAAGCCAGTATGAATAACTGCTAATTTAACACATTCTTCAACATGTTGACCAGGCAATTTTGGAGTGAGGGGGATTTTTTGTATGTGAATTCTGGTTTGCAACTTCATTACAGTTAAAAAGTGATCAGAGAGGACAAAAAGATTCCTTGTTAAATAGACACGAGCATGATAGTTGATGCTTTTTGACTAATGCTTGCTGTTCTACATTTTTTCTCCTAATAATTTTGGCTTTTGCTGATTTTATCATTCTCATATATCATACAAATCTCCATGACATGATGCAATGAACTAATAATGTAGGATTTTCTGGTGGGATTAAATACTCTAATGTGCAATTTTTAAGTAATATCTTGGCCTTTCCTGCAATTTCAAAACTTCTATTCTGGTGAACTGACAAGCCTGCCCATTTTGAGGTGCTTTATTTATTAACCAACAATTGCGACAGCTACAAAAATCCTGTATTCCCTTTTTATTGGAGGTTTTGTGATTCCATGACACACGTTTTGTTAAAAACAAAAAAAAAAAATTTAACCCCCCCTCCAGACAATGCCATTCGTTTGACAGCTTAAAATTTGGTGTCATCTGACCAATTCTTTGTGCATTTTTTTTTAATTGCACTGTAGATTTATGGGTATAGAATGTCTCTGTGGGCTGAACATCTTGGAGTTATTGAGGATTGCTTTACTCAACCGGAGTCTGTAGAATGTGTCCGACGGGTTAAAACGATGGGCGAAGCAAATTGGAACCAATATGCTGCTCCAGAGGTAACAGAAATGAGGGCGCACCTGCTGAAGTACCCTGTGGAAGTAGACCGGACAGGCAAGGTGAGGGCGCTTCCAGGACATGAAAGTTTCCCAGATGTCGGAGGCAACATTGTGGGATCATTTCTTGCCATTCAAGAAAATCTTACCATCTAAGTTCTCTCTTTGCTACATAGATCACAATTTATAGCCCCTTCCCCTTCTTATATTTATCTCAATTTGCGGCTCTGATCACATGCTGCTATTCCAGTGGTTGGCATGAGGTTGGGTAAATTTTTGCAACTACAAGGGTTTGGAATGATCACAAGGGCTGATTTTGACATGTTTTTCAAGCAAGACATTGCTGCATTTAGATACTACTGTTTAGTGCAATGTACATAGAGTCGCTGTATAGATCTTCTTTTGCTATGATATCTTAGGTATGGCGCTTGTTGTATTAACTTTTATCTAGTTGTGCTTTTTATAATCTGCCTGCAAGTGAAGAATTTTTCGTTTAACTGTACCCTTTGCATACGATTGCCTATAATTAGGGCAGTGATGAAAGTTTACTATGAAAGTTTTCTATCTTCACATTGAAACAAAAGGTCCTTTTGATTGAGACTAAAAAACTTCATTAGTGGTAATATTTGAAATTGACCATAATGAAGGGAAAGATGCACTGTAAGGCATTAAGCTGGAGTTTGAGGGTGCTTGAGAGTGTGAAGAACGTGGAAACGATTAGATGGATTAGTGTTAAAGTGAGCTTGTGAAGTAAAGAAAGTATATTTGACTCCGGCATTTTGTCAGGTGAGCAGGTAGATAAGTATATTTAACTCCAAGGAAAAATTATTCAAAACATTCTTCACATTTTATAAAATAATTTTTTTCATCTCTCACTTTTAAAAGTGCGCTTTTACGTTCCTTATAAATTCATATTGATCAATTTTGGTCTCTATTTAGATTTCCGACTAGTTTTTAGTGGGAATTCACCACGTACTTTGCACGTAATCATTTTTTAAGGGTAAAATTGTTAAATTAAAATTTACATAATCCGTTCTATAGTTCCTTATATTTCACAAAATGAATTTTTTTGTTCCTCACATTTCATAAAATGAATTGTTTTGTCCCTCACATTTCACAAAATGAATTTCTTTATCCCTTATATTTTACAACATAAATTTTCATCCCTTATTGATCATGTGTACGAATAATTTTTTTTAAACTCATGTATATATCTATTTGATTTTAGATAAATAATACGAATAGCATGCAATATATCTCTATTTGATTTCGTCTGAACGTACTGTTCAAGTAAAATTAAAATAGATATATACAAAGTTCAAAAATTGGTTAATTTTTCACTCATATTTATTTCTAATTACTCAAAAATTAAAAATAAAGAAGACATTTAATTCTAAACATTATTAAGTATTTATATTGAATTAAATTTGGGTAGAAAAAATAAATAAAGGAAAAGTATGACAAAAAGAAGTAAGTGGTTGACATTTTTAAATTTTAAGATAATCACAAGATAAGAAATTTAACTGTTGGTCTTAAAGATTGTGAGTAAAAATTTTAGATTTAAACTGCAATTTGGTAGCAGGACTATAGAATTCAAGTTAGGACCGATTAATTAGATGGTTTTATTACACACAATTCAATAAATGAATTATTACCAAAATAAAAAAGGTTACAAATATTGAATAGATTCACATGGTGAAATCAAATATATATATATATATATATATATATTTGACACACACACACACAAACACATATATATGGGTTTAAAACAAAATTGTTAGATTTAATCCCATGTATATATCTATTAAATAGCATATGTATAACTACAATTAGTGTGTTTAGGTGAAATCAAATAAAGATATATTACATACTATTCGTATTAGTGTGTTCAGGTGAAATAAAATAGATATATACATAGATTTAAAAACAAACTATTCATACACATGGTTAATTAGGGATGAAAAAATTCATTTTATGAAATGTGAGGGATGAAAAAATTTATTTTGTGAAATGTGAGAGACGAAACAATTCATTTTGTGAAATGTAAGGGACTATAGATGGATTATGTAAATTTTGATTTAATAATTTTGCCCATAAAAAATGATCACCTGCAAGACACGTGATGAATTCCAACCAAAAACTAGTCGAAAATCTAGGTAGAGACCAAAATTGACCACTATGAATTTGTAAGGAACATAAAATTACACTTTTAAAAGTAAAAAATGAAAAAAGTAATTTTACAAAATATGAGGGATGCTTTGAATGATTTTTCCTAACTCCAATAAAGAAATGTATGCTATTTCAAACTTTTGAGCCGAATATAAATTAGTTTCAAAGCTCAATGGCTCCCAACGAGGGACTAAGTGGACTGTAGGTTAGATATTCAAACTCCACTTGTAGTGAAAAAAATTCAAAAATGTGTCAGATCACCTTTTTGGTCTAGTCGGATATATATACTTGCTAATTTCTTACACAGTCTCTTTAAATTAAATTATAAGAATGTTATTGTTGCGGAAAAAAAAAAGATTTACCAATGTCTTACCATGTTATTACCCAAATGTAAGTAATATTAAATATTACCCAAATAAGTGCAAAATTTATATTTTTAGCGGATCACATTACAATGTGCCATGAGCGAGATTTTCAAACAGTAATACAATCTTTCTCTTGGTAAAGCCATCTGAGCTAATAAAGGTTGTTTACACAAATAGGTTTAAATTCATAAAGCATTACATGATACATGAAACGTGAGTTACTAACATCGTGACACGACACCTGAGAGATTTGATTCCGCAAAGAAAATTTTGCGGTAGTAACTAGTAAACCATCCTAGCTAGTTGTAAAATCTTTGGCGCAAAAATATTCATAGGGACGTTTGGCATTTCTTGGCTTCTTTTGCAGAAAACCTCGGAATTTAGCAAAATGAACTTTCAAATATAGACTAATAAGCTTTAAAAAGAACATTTTTTTGTGTTTTGGGGGGGGGGGGGGGGGGGAGGATAGCAAATAAGAGAATAAAGGGACCATCATGGAAACGAGAAATGTGTACCAAGTAGCACCATTCTAGGAAGCAGGAACCTTATGTTTAGCCAAGCCACTTACTTTTTCAAAAACAAAAATAAGCCATGAAGTTTCCGTAGTTTAAGGTTTACCATCGAAAGAAAACAAGAAAAAGCTCCTACAAATAGCCTCGTCCTCCCTCAATCCAAACTCGTCCAAGGAAGCACTGACAACAAGTAAAAAAAAAAATCTGCAAAAGAGAAAAAAGATCCCAAAAAAAAAAGAAAGAAAGAACAGCAAAAGATAAACAAGATGGCAAAGCAGTTTGTTGCAGTGTTTCTCATGTGCATGGTTGTCGTTGCCGCAGTGCACATTCACAAGGCTGAAGCCACCACCGCGCAGCAGTTCAGTGACTGCTATAACAGCTGTTACAATGGGTGCCATCAGGATGGAAAGGGCATCGGCGCCACCTTCTGCGAGATGAAGTGTGATGCTGATTGTGTCGCCAAAGAAACCAAAGGTACGTATCAACTCTCAAAACATTTCTATAACTTGTTCAGAATTTCGAACAAACAATAATAAATTGCTGCCCTCAAAGATTTATGTTTTGACAAAACTTAGCATAGCAGATTGTAGTTGAGGGTGAATCCCCTAACTGATGTTCATCCATCTCGTTGGTAAATGAATTAGCATCTTGATTATGATTGGTTTCCAAATTTTGCACTTCCTTAATGATGACACATAAAACCTTCTTTTTTTTGTTTTTCCGGTGCAGCCAAACTGTTGGGCGAGTAGGCTTTGATGAAGGACCAAAGGAAAAGGGTGGGTTCATGTTCGTCTCCAATAAAACTAGAGCAGTGAGAGCAATAAAGTGGTGTAAAGAAAATTTTTTTCTTCTTTGAAGTTTTATTTTTCTTTCCACAACCATGTACGTTTAATGATTGAAATAAATATCTCAAGCTCTTTTTATACTTGTTGCGATGCCATTAAAAGCCGAGATTGCCTATTCGTCTGGCTTTTTTGGTGCTCTGGTCTTTGCAATATCGGTGGATCACACTAACCCACAGTTATTCTTTTCTGACATTCTTTTTGCCACATATGTTTGCATCCATACGAATCTTGCTTAAAGGATTAAACGGAGGAAAAAGGAGTGGGGAACTTCTGGTCAGGAAATTTTATCTTTAACTAATCAAATAATCATACTTGGAATGGAATTGCAGCAATAAATTGCATTAACCTGGTAGTATCTGCAACTCCTTGAAGAAGTCGGTCAGCTTTTGGCTCGACTTAAACAGTAAAACAAAACTGCAATGTTTCACTACGTATTGACTAGTTTTGCACGCCGTGTTTGGGGATCCATCTCTACTCGCAGGCCAAGATTAACCATTTCCGGAACATCTACAGATCCTTGGATCTCCAGATCGGCTACCACTTGCTGGTTTTCTGCATTCCCTTCCAGTAAATTTCTTACAGACCAAATTCCCCATTCTCTCAAGAATGGGTTATCCTCATCAAGTACACATTGCTGCAACAGCAAAAGAATCCCATTCTTCTCTCTGATTTCATCTTGAACACGCTTCCGATGGTATGCACAATTTCCAAGAATAGCAACAATATCTCTTCTGAAACCTTTGTAAGGGCATTGCTTCAATGGATAGCTGCCTGCCTCATTAGAAGTCTCATCTTTTCTCATTGCCTTCTTAATGATTGTGGGAGGTTCTAGGTCACGAAGCAAACTCAACAAAAAATCAATGAGTCCAGATGATACTAGCATATCCACAACACGATTTGATCCCTCTATCTCCAAACCTGTTAAATCTGCACAAGCGCAGATATCTCTCAAAGTGGTCAGAGAATATCCTAGAACATCAATACCAGTGTGACCTGTTGGAAGGGCTGACTTCCCCTTGGGAACAGAATCAACCACTTCAACTGCACTTCTTAAGATTTCAAGAATGCATAAAGAGAAATCGATGGAAATGACAACATCTTCGATTCGTTCATTTAAGATCTCTGACAGAATACGCAGCAGAAATGCTTGCTCAGCTGAAAAATGCACACTTTTGGCAGTGATATCTGCATGATCCCCGACTTCACTGACAGGGTGTAATTTAGAGAAAGTTGATGCAAAACATGATTTGTCAAGACAGACTCTCGAAAGAAGCAATTTAAACCAATCTTCACTGAAACCAACTGCCCATACACAAAAGAAGGAGATTGTTCATTCACAGTCAATTCAACAACTGAAAAGTTCACGAAGCAACAACTATGCAAGAGGATCAAAAGGAATACCTAATGAAACAGTGCTTAAAACTTCTGTAATTATATGCAGCCCCTGACTTGAACATAATTGCCCAAGTAATTCATCAGTCTCCCCAGAGCATGTATAAATCACCATGCATAAAGGATCACAGGTTTCTCTACTTCGCAGTTCAGCTATCTTGTAAAAGCCACGGGGGAAAAATTCACTCCAAATAGCACCCTGATGTTCTCCTCCAGCCAAGGCAACATTTCCTAAAAGTTGCAAGCACATACGAATAATCTCACAACCACATTCGAGGGAAGGTTTAACGGAACTAATAACACCGGAAATAATTCCAACTCCGTTTTGTTCAAGAAATGAGTTCTGATTACGCATTTCGCCAGCACATAAGTTCCTAAGAAGCTTTAGTGAAGATAAAAGAAGATCGCCATTGGAGGGAAATTCAAGAACTTGGCAAAGCTGAAGGACTGCATTTACCATATTCTTAGAAGCGAAGTCTGCACGACCATCAGCAGACTTGGCAGTTTGTATAAGAAATTCTAGGGCCTGGTCCAGTTCAGATAAGTTTGATGCATCTAGCAATGGTTGCATAATAGCTGCTGGGACAAAAACTTTTGCAGAGCTGTTATCATCCATTATCTACCCGCCTCAAAGTAGAAAAAGAAATTGCAACACCAATCCAATTATTATTCGAATTATGTCCTGCAGTGTCAAACGAGATTCAATGAATACTCAATCCAACGAATTGACAAAAGGGATGGCACTGGAAGTGTCAAAAATGATAAAAGCTAGCAGTTATAATGCGGAAAAAACAGAGATACCCAGAAACAGGAAATTTCTTAACATGGGCATTTGCACAAACGGATGATGGGCATAATCCCAAAAAAGCAACAAAGCAAGCACCCCAGTACCAATACATGCATGCATAAATATACAAAGACCCAGCATCAGAACACGAAATGGCAGATTATAACAGGAACAAAATGACAAAATTGGAGAACCTTCTCAGTAAAATAATCGAAAGATGCAGGAAAAGCTTGCTAACGGAACTTACCGAGGAGTAGTATAGTTCGACGCAAGGTAGATTATCCTGAGTGGAACTTGAGGTATACCAGCTGGAGAAGAGTTTCACAGCAACAGCGGTAATTAGCGGGAACAGCTGATTGAAGAGAAAGAAGTAGGCGGCGGGGGGCGGCTGATTCTTTGATTTGACCGCGCAGTTAAAATTCAGTTCCTGAAAGACGGGTGGGGGCTGCCGGGGCGAAAGGGGACGTTCTTGGGGGTGGCGGCAAAAGGTTATTTGTTGAATAAATATAAATTTTTCGAAAAATAAGCAGAACCATTAGCTCAAGTCCATTTGTACAAAATACAAAATGGTAGAAATATGTGCTATAAGGAGAAAAAGAAAAATATATTTGGCAACAAATTCATTGAGCTTTTTTTTTTTTTTGTGACATGGTTTACTTTTTTATTCAGTTTTAGGGTACATTACTGCGATAAATTGACTAAAAATGTATTACCACAAAATAAGAGTTTCTTCAATTAAATATTGTATTAAATATATTCATCCCATAGTCAATTATGTAAATTAATGTGGAATGTTTGATAAAAATATGTAATTTTTTCTTCAAAAAATCAAAAAAGATTAATATATATATATATATATATATATATATATATTAGTCAAAAGCCAAAGTTTACACCTTGGTTCATTTTCCAGTATCATCCTAAAGTAACAAATTAAATTAGATGTTTTTTTTTTCCAAAAAGAATCCAATCCTTACAAAAGAAAAGGGAAAAAATCTAAGTTATGGATTACGTGATTTTGGAAGTATTTTCAAAAACTTTACTATAAATTGTTTGGATAGTGTATTATTTGAAATAATTACTGTAGCACTTTTTGTGATACGATGTATGTGAGATAAAAAGGTAATTGGAAATATAAAAAGGTAGGTTGGAAAATGTGTTTGTGATGCAAGCGAAATATTATTTAGAATAATTTTGGTATCCAAACACTAATGTTTTTAAAGTTGTATTTTAGGGTATTTTTAGAACTTAAATTTTGTGAGTATTTTTTCCATAAATTTGTTATAATTTTTTATCACTTTCCCCTCCCCTCTCTCTTTCTCCCTCCCTCCCCTTTCCTCTCCTCCTCACTCTTTGCCTTCCCCCGCCTCCCCTCTCCAGTACAAATACGATGTAAACTTAAAAATTTTTAAAAGTTTTAAACCTATTGCATACTTTTTATCAAATTTGATTTGGGGGGGAGGGGGCCAATTACCCACCTCACTCCTACGGTCCTTCGTGGCTCCACCATTCATTCGTGGCTCCACCATTCATCAGTTGAGTGGGCAGAAAATGCCTAACTCGCCTGGTAAGAATTGCCTAACGGGGAGAAAAGCTCTTTGATAGCAAGAGTGGCTTCACATCAAGCATCATTCAACGGTGAAAAAGTTTTTTTTAACTAATTTTTAACCTGCTGATGATTTTTTTTTTTTTTTTTGTTATCACAGAGGTATCTGAGTTTTCGGACTGGTAATACCTAATGACCCAACTGATCCTCTGCGAGTAGGGAGATGCTGTCCAACTTTTTCACGTATCGTTTTACTCGGGGTTCGAACCTGTGCGGTGGTACTCCTCCAACCGGGGTACTACCACCAGCTCTAGCCCCCGAGGGCTTTAACCTGCTAGTGATTTCAATCATAAAAAATTCAACATTCACTGTATCGATTAAGTTTCTCCAAATATATCATTCACCCCATTAGCTTAATAGTCACGAGATCAACCATTTTTCCAACTCATTATGGAGAAACCATTCAAAAATAACAAAGTAGTAGTGGTAAAAGAAAGGCTATACTTTTCTGGGGTACAAGTGCAACCAATTGAATTCTGCTGATTACGTAGGTTGTGAAACAAATAAGAAGATTGATGCAAAAAAATGTAGGTACAATCCCACTTAAAAAGTTAAATGTCCATCATAAAGTATTTTTAACCATAGCCAACGAAGCAACAACCACCAGGAAGAAGCATAACTGCAAATCAAAGAAAGTATCAAATTTTCTTCCACTCCAGAGTCCAGCATGCCAAAAGTTTTTCCAATTCCCGGGTCATTATCATCAGAATTCTGCAATTCACATCAAGAAGGAGAAGGGCCGGGGCCCACGCCACGCGCCGTGAGGACCCACATCAAGAAAACCTTCACCGTCCACCACTAGATTCAAAGATCGGGCCCAAACTCCAAAGTTCTAATGGGACCACTAGTAGCCGCCTTGGGCTCCTTCATCAGTTTCTTTACCCCCACACCACCCCCGCAGCATGGGTCCCATTCTCCACCATGCCCTGCAAATACAATTTTCTGGGCCCATTCCCACCTCCACTAGCGTCATCCCCCCCGCCCCAAAAATGGACCACCCCTGTTCAAGGCCCCACATACCAAACCCCTCCCCCATCCTACACCTGCCTAACCTTACATGATCCTCTTCACACGTGCAGGTTTCCCAACCACCTCTCACGTGCTCCAAATTTATGGGCCTCTATGGACGTACAATTCCGTGCCCACTTCCCAAACAAAATTAATATCCAAATTCCCCAAAAAAAAAATATATCTTTAAAAAAAAAAAAAAAATATCCCCAATGCTCAATTAATTTTGCTGCTCATGCTTATCATGAATCTCCAAGGAAAATTCCCTCAAAACCTGTGTTCTCGTGCTAGGAGATTTATCGGACGAGGTTGAAGAAGAAGAAGGCAACAACGTAGCACTAGAATTTACTCGAAGGTTTTCCATTGTTGTCGGGCCCCTCACCACATTTAAAAATCTTGGCAATTGCTGAATATTCAACGCATTTGCAGCGGATGGTGTTGTAGATGATGATGCAATGAATGCTGAAATTGGCCTGGCGGAAACGTTGATGAACGGGGTCACATTCACATTCACATTCGGGGGAATCGCCAGAATTTGAGACTGATTCGCTGCAACATGACTGGGAACGTTGGTTGATGATGATGATGGCACCTGAGGAGGAGGAGGGAGGATGAAAAATGTTGGCGAAATATTTGTTACTACTGGAATAGCAGCTACCAACGGGACCTGTAGAATCGCCGGGTTCTGAACCATAGCTGGAGATGCGTTAGTAGTACTAGTACTAGGCTGTATTGCCATTAATGGGGCCAAAATGGAGGGATTGTTACTGGAAAATGTGGACATGGTGGTGGTGCTGCTGGTGCTAGTATTACCGGTGCTGGTGGCAACATTGTCGTCGGTGTTGGTGGGCATATTTACGTGCTGATCAGCACTGTAATTGGATGGACGCTTGCGTTTCCTTTTGACGGTGTTACTGTTATCAGCAGCCGCAGGGGAGGTGGTGGGGACTTTTAGGGTACCGTTAACTGACATGGCAATGGCAGGAACGGTGCCGGTACCGGTGGCGGCAATGATGGCTGGCTCCGCATGCTCCAAGAGCCATCTGATGGTCTCGCCGTCAGACTTGTGGCCGAGCTCTTTGGTTAACTGAAACACCCTGGCTGCACAAGTGGCTGGCATTCTGATTCTTCTCCCTCGCCCTTCCACTTTAGTGTGCCTGTCTTTTGTGGAAGTTCTTTTCGGCGGCGTAGGTGGAGCTACCGGCTGTCTCATTTGTAAAGGCGTTGGCATGGGCAGCGGCTGTGACGACCTGGCCATCGGTATAGGCGGTTTGTCTTCCCCATGATCATCAGGCTCTTCTTTGAGGGATATCAATGGAATTGCCATTGGTGGTGCAGGTGGCATGCGCAGTGGCTGCACCGCCGTCGAAGGTGGCCGCGGCCATGGGTTATTCAAATTAGACCCATTTCTTGACTGATCCCCGTGTAGTTCTAGCTTTTGTGCTGAACCCATGGTTTTATGTACAAAAGTGGTAGCAAAAGCCAAGAGAACAAGGCTAGGAGATAAGGGAGGGTAACAATATTGGGGACTGATGAGGACTGAGGAGTGAGGAGTAGCTGCTAGAGGATGCTGACAAAAAATAACCCCTTGGAGGCTAAGAAAAAAAGAGATGGTGTTTGGCTTTTTATAGAACACAACATCATTTAAAGCTTGTGGATTGAGATGTAAAATAGTAGGATTAGAAGAGTATAAACTATAAAGAGAGAGAGAGAGAGAGAGAGAGAGAGAGAGGAGGGACTTGTAAATGTGGAAGGAGCTAGAGTTAAATGGTCTCTTAATGTTAATTAAGTGGATTCAGCTCCGATCATCATCACCGCGACGGATTAGCACATGTCCGAGATCAAATGAGAAGTTGCTTACGAATGAATTGTATTGCACCAAAGTCACTTTCAACTTTCTACCACTGTAGGTTAGTATTATGTAGATGCCAATGAACTTAAGATGCCTGTGTTATGCTAAAAAGATGCTATTAGTAGCAATTGGGACCCCAAAAGCTGAGGTCCCAAACTATTGGCAAGGATTGATGACAAAAGGTCGTGCCACCTTTCCACATAGCAAATTTTGGACTGCTCAAATTAAGTATTGTTTCTCAAAGTAGAATAGTAAATAAAATATCTTTGTCGTACGAAATACATTAAAATATTTTGTACAAGAAGACTACTTGCACCGTTATATATATATATATATATATATATATATATATATATAAATAGGAGCTATTGAATTTTTTTTTTTCCGAACACGATAACAGTTGTATAATTTAATCTATTCTACACTAAAAGATAGCGGGCAAATCTAAGGAGGTCCAGGAATAATCCGGAGAGGACTGAACTACCATCGGACCAAACGGGTGCACAACACACCGTCTGAATTTTTATTTGAAGCAAACTACTTAAATGTGGCATTTTGGTAGGAGACAAGGTTGGAGCTCTTAAATATATGATCTCTTACTTATAATTGTTTTTCTTTACCATTCAATTCAATCTTTCCCGATAGGCCATGCGAGCTAGTTTACAAAAGTTGACCATTTTCATCGAAGTTTTACGAGAACATTTGATTTTTCTAAAGGGCCAAATTCAGAAAATTCACATCCATGAGCTTCATGAAATGTATGTTCACTAAGTAATCATTTTTCTGTTAAGAAACCGAAAGGAAAAATAATTCTTCTTAATATCGAAATTTTCACTCCTTTAATTGCAACGTTTGAGAGGAATTTGGTTACACCCCAGCGTGGCCATCGTACCGACGGCATAGGGGTAAAGGAGGAAGTGACATTGGATTCTCAGCCCATGCACGTGGATAAGGCTTACTCTAATGAAATCAGCTACTGCTCTAGGGTTTGTAGAGCATCCAAATAGAACCAGGTCTCTCCCCAAGTTATGAAGTACTACTACATATTTAAGGAGCTGTTGGTTCAAATTCTGGAATTGGAATCATAACCCTCACAACCGGAGTGGGTTCTGGTCATTCTCCCTTCCTTGTTTGGTTTGGAAGTGGAACGTGCTTCTTCGTTCGTTCGTTCTGATGCAAAGCTAATTAATTCGAAACCCAAGATATAAATGGGGAATGATATGTATAAAATTCACTTTTTTTTTCGTTTCATTCAAAGTATCATATTTGTTATTTTGAAATGTCTCAAAATATTTGTTATCTTGCTAAAATCAAAATTACTTTTGATCCTTTTCTTTTTCAATACTCCCTCCGTCCCACTTTGATAGTCCTGTTTCTTTTTTCACACAATTTAAGAAAAATTAGTTAATTTTGTTGAAAAAGTAAATTTAGATTGCTATTTTTCTAAAATACCCTAACATTAAATAGAGTATAATTTTATGGGGAACTTGAATTGATGGTAAAAAAAGAATCAACTCTTATTAAATGGGGTAGATTTATAGTAACAACAACTTACATTAAATAAGGGTATTTTAGGAAAATTAAAATACAACTACATTTTTCAATTGGAAAATGGACTACAATTTGGGATAGACCGGAAAAAAAAAAAAACAGGACTATCAAAGTGGGACGGAGGGAGCATTATCTTCACCTTTATTTGCATTTCATACTAAAATTAAATTTGAATTTTGAATTTTCGAAGGTTATTTTGAAAACACATCCACTAACATTATCATCAAATCACTACTTTTTAAAAAGTCGAAATTTCGAAACGCAGCAAACAATTTGAAACAGAGAGAGTAACACATACATTCAGATCAAATAATTTTCTCAGTGATCTATTAGACAATAGATATGAATGCCATTGATTTTATAATATTAACTTTCCAAACACTCTCTGTAGGAACTTGATCCCTTACAATGCCGTGAGGATTGGTGTAACAAAGTAGAAATATTGGTGGTGCGGTGCCTCATAAGGGAGGGCCATGGTGATGGTACAAAGTGAGAACACCCTCTAGGTGGTGGACCAATGGTGAAGTTTGGTGGCTCTAGGAGTTTCAACCATCAACCACCGAGGTGGTGCCGGAAGAGTGTGGCATTGTATTGGTGGGCACATTATCTTCTTCTTCTACGGTGGCCCTAGGACAATTAACAACCAAGGTGGTGCCTGACAGGGGCCATAGTGCTGGTGGGCGCAATCCCCAACCCCCCCCCCCCCTTATCGTCCCCCCAAAACCCCCCCTTTTAGCTCTAGGTGCTGGACCAAGGTGGTTTATGGTGGGCCTAACATCTTATGCCAGTGTGCATTCCTTCCTAAATAGATGGGCCCACTTCCCGTGAGCTGACAGATTGCTGATGAACAGCACTATCAGCCCACTTGCTTTAAGCGGGCCCAGGAAAGTTCGGCTGAAGATGGGGACCCTTGCATATTAATGTGGGGCATCACTTGCGGTGCCCACAAAAGCCTGCCTGCCCACCCATCTAACACAACAGATAATACTTAAAAATAGTGGACGCCTTCATTTTGAGACTTACATTTTTTTTTTGTAGCTTTTATTTAGTGGGGACCATAGCACGTAAAATGTGATGCCCTTCTTGGAGCCTGCACATTAGGCAGCCTAACCATGCGGCCCACATGCCCCAGTCCACAATCCACAGTGCAATTTTGAAATTCCATAATTTACATCATAATTTAGTAAATCATTAATTACTAGCACTTTTGAATCCATAATTTACATCATAAGATATTTAGTAATTCCAACGTTTACAGTACGTTTTAAAACCATTAACAAGATTATTCATGTTTGGGTTGCATTTTTTCTGAATTTTTTGTAAAAAAATTACTGTAGTGATTTGATATACGTGAGGTAAAAAGGTGATCGAGAAATGTAATTACGAAAAACATAGTAATTTTTCTTTGAAAATTTGCTTTCCAAACAAGGATTTTCAACCCAATCACATAGGAGCATAAATAATCATGTACACAAGTCTTGCACACCTAAATATAAGAGTAAGAGAAAGAGATCATATATAATAGATTTTGGGAAAGAAAAAAAAAAAAAAAAAAAAAAAGTGGATAAACTTCCAATCTTTTGCCGCGTCTGATGTCCTCATCCACGGTCATAGACTCGTAATCATCTTCACAGAAACACAACGATGTTATTTATCCCTTTTGAACATGCTAGCATGTAATGTAACCATTCAAAAAGTGTCTATGAAGAACGTTAACCCTTTTGAAGGTGAAAAAAAAGAGCATTAACCATATATATATTTCGGATGTGTATGAGTAACTTACTAGTTTTTAATCTCGGTATTTCTTAGAATTTAATTTCGTAAATGTGAAAAGGGGGAAAAAAAATACAAGAACCACGGAAAATATATGCTGAGGTTGTCGCTTGGTGCTACCTTTTTATTTATTTATTTTATAAAATATCATAATTTCATTAAAATTTGCTTACATTACCAAACATACACAGATATCAAAGAATAGATCCGAAGAAAGAATACTCCAGATATGAAAAACAATAAAAATTACATTATAAAACTCCAAATTTTAAAAATGAGATAAAATAATTGTAATTCCACGGGGCATTTGTGCATGCTTCCAATCGTTAGACCTACTGATTAACTACTTCAAGTCCAGATATTATGATGATATCTGCCGAATGGATCTAAAAAATTTCATATCTGATAATCAAAATCTGAAAAAAAAAATCGGATCTAGTAAAAGAAAAGTACAAAAATTATCAAAAACTCTCACTAAAAAAATTCATGAGAGAAGAAACTCTCACTAGAAAATATTAGGAGAGATTTTATTTACACAAATGAAAAGACACTATTGACATGACTCCTCTCATGAAAAAAGATGAGAAAAAACTGATCTCTCTCTCATGGGAGAGTTGAAGAGGGGAGTTTTAGTTAGATTTTCCTCGAGAGAGAGAGAGGTGCTTGATACCTGATGAGGTTGCTAGGCATCGCAATTAACTAACTCAACTCGTCATAATTGTGGTTAATCAGTAGACCGACTGATTAACGTTCTCATAAGGCCAAAGATAACTGTTGAGCCCAGCCTCAGCCCCTTATGCTTATAGGGGAAGCTCCCTGTCTTTAATGGCTGGGTATGCTTTGAATGAGCAAAGCAGATGAGTGAAAGATGAATTCCGCGCCGCGCCCCCCGCAGGGCTGCCTTCTGAAAACGGATTACGGGCATTGTACTAGGCATCTAGTGCACTCAAAAACTAATCATTGCTAGAGATATTGAGCCTTTATTAGTTTACTCGCAAGATGATGAAATTCTTGCCACATGGAGCATGAGCATCCTAAACATGTGCAGAGAGAATACGATTTCATTCCAAATTTGTCTTTAGGTGAGAGGTGGATTACAAAATATATGCATGTTTACTAAACCATGGGTCACATCATTCGGAACAAGTTGCACAAGAATTATACGTGCTGGTGCTGGTGCAGGTGCTGGTACTGCTGAAAAAGAAACGAGTGTGTTGTGTTGCCCCCAGCGCCGGGAATAATACACCAAAAAATGTGCAGAATAAGAAGCAGCAGCT